TCTATATATTCTCAACACCCTGTTTTCAAACACCCTCACAGTTTGTGTTCCTCACTTAATGTCACAGAACTACAGGCAAAATTATAGTTTTTTATATTCTAATTTTTATGTTTTTAGACAGACAAGATGACAAAAGGTTCTGGATTGAATGGTAGTAAGCATTACCCCAATTCACTCCCTTAATTTTCTCCTGAATCAAGTTTTGGTTTGTTACTGTCATTCCAAAATGTCTGAACTTTAACACATTTTCAAAACATCTGTTAGCTGTCTTCATGATTCTGCCCTGTATTCCGGTGACAAGACAGCAATATGTACTTAAGTTCTCTCTCTATTTACTTCTAGACCAACCTCCCTGCTAGTACCAATTAAAGTTTCTGTGTTTATCTTTATGTTAGGTATGTTATCTCCCAGTAGATTCACATCAGCATAGGCCAGAAGCTGATGTCTCATTTATTTAATTTCAATTTCACCTGGTTTTCCTGGACATTTCTAATGGCATATTCTAAAGCAAAGTTGAAGAGGAATGGCAATAAAGCATCTCCTTGTTTTACACCATTAACGGATAGGGAAGTTATCAGACAAATGTTTACCTATGTGGACTTTACCATACGTTTAGTTTAAACATGTTTTAATCACCCTAACTAGTTTCATGGTTACCCCAAAGTCTTATCAGAATATTGTACAATACTTCTCTCCTAAGTTAATCATATTGCTCAGGATAGAGACCAGTGGAGGGTTCTTGTGAACATAGTATTGAACGTTCAGGTTCCATAAAATGTTGGAAAGTTCTTGAGTAGTGGGGCGACTGGTAGCTTTGCAAGAGGGACCCAGGTCCATGGAGGTAGTTAGGTTGTAGATCAAAAGTATATGAGATCGGATACATTGAAACTTCATTTGTATGATGTTTGTGTGGCCAAGAATGAAACTTATGGTATACAGTTATACAGGAACTTGTAGAATATCCAATGAACAAAAATTATTCAACATAATAGCAGAAATGTCCTCTTTTAATGAGGGTTTTATTGCACCATAGCTTCCCTTGCACGTGTTCGTTTAAATGTAATTTAAAGTTGGGATTATTTAGATTTTCAGAAGTTGGTCATATGAATGTTTATGTTTGGCAAACAGGCATTCTGTCCCACATCAAACTTAATTCCAGCTTCAGACAAGAAGTCTGTGAACTCTAGCTACTTGATGAATGATACAGTGCGCTGCGAAGTGCTGGAAGTAAACCCTGATACTGAGAAGCTGGTGTGTGGTATGAAGGGTGTGACACTGCCACCCAATTCGGATTACTCCTCACGACTAGGCCTCATCCATAGTGACGATTTCCCAGAAGTGTACAAGTAAGTGGGACTGTTAGAGCTTTTACATGGATCTAGTTATATATGTCATTGGTGATGGGTGAGAGTTATTTTAATCTGAGAGTACTATAGGCTTTCATTTGTTGCTGCATTACTTCTGTGTATGTGATTTCTACTTGTGTATATTGTGCATCATGTTTTATTTTTACAATGAGCATGTTTTTGGGGCGTGTAGTTTTGCATGTTCCAGTGCTTTTACAATGCACTTCTTGTACCAACATTGAGTGAAATAATAATGTGGTCAAACACAAATAAATTCTTAAATATTTTGGATAATTTATGCACTACACAGTATACACAAGATTTCTCTGGTTGTTGTAGGTGGTGTAGCACGAAGTTCATGGCTAGTAGTATTGCAGTTGCCTGTTTTTGTTTTGTCACTGCTTCATCTTCATGGTTCACCATGAATAAATGCAGTTTTTATTTACTCTCTTCCAAAAGACGGATGACACTTCGCAGTAAGAATTTTGACTTTCTGGAAGGATAAAATTTTACATATACAAGCTATTTTGGTTATGACATAAATTTATTGTAATTAATTGTGTATCTTCTAATGATTTTTTCAGTCATTTTAAATTCTTTGTTTAGAACACACCATCTGTACTATGAATTGAATTTAACAGATTCTAATCTGTAATTTCTGTTCAGAAGGTAATGTGGAAACAGTGTTTAGTGGGTTTGGTATAATAAATTGTAACATTTCACACTTAAAGCCAACAATCTATTCACATGTCTATGAATTTGATACAACACAGTTGCAGATTGCAAAAATTGTAAAACATTGAATCATACGCTTTGCAAAAAGAAAGCTTCAGTATTGCAGTTATATTGTGGGTTTAAGTCCTGTATCGAACTTTGCTTTATATAAGATACAGATTTTTAGCCAGAAGTGTAGGTTTCTACCATTAGGTTAGAAAGGAGGGAAGCTATTCATTTTCACGAATTGGACAAGTTATAAGGAGCCGTCTTGTTATGTCAAAAGGTTTTCTCAGCTGCAGTCAGTTCTCAATTTGTGTTGATTTTAATACATATTGCCGCTTGAACAACAGAGATTATATCCTGGAAAGTCCATGTGGTATAATCTGTGACAGGTGGCGACTAAAGTCTGTTGAAAATACGGGATGAAGTTGTCCATAGCCATGGTTACATTCATCAGCATCTGTCAAAGTTGCATACTCCTTTGCTCATTTTTTTTATTGCTAGTGAGGTGGGACCAAGTCCCTTGTACTGCAGCCATTCTGGCCTATTGTACCAGCCCCAGATGATAGGTGAGGGTGATTGTGGAGCAATTGGTGGAATGAAGATTGGCAGGGGAAACCGAAGTACTCGGAGAAAACCTGCCCCAGCGCCACTTTGTCCACCACAAATCCCACTTGACCAGACCCGAGATCAAACCCAGGCTGCTGCGGTGGGAAGCCAGTGTCAGACGCTTGAGCTATGGCATGGCGGAACTCCTTTACTAAGTACAGGAAGAACACAGTAACAGACACATTGCAGATACAATAACATGCTGGGAAGTGTAACATGGAAAAGGCAGTATTTAGTTTATCTTGAATCCAGAGAGGTGAAGGCCAACAGTGTTGACTGATATGTTGTGACTTGGGGGGAATTTTTTTTTTTTTGGGAGGGGGCATCCACCTTCCCTCCAATACAGGTACTGCTGATTTGAAAGTACAATTCGGTGCTAAACCATATATACACATTTTTCTGCTACATTTGAATTGGTATACAGAAGGAAAAGCTGAATTATATGGTTGGAGAGGGATTGTATATAATTAGGTAGTCTTGTAGAATGTGAATCAATTGTTTGCTAGGATGTCAGAAAGGGAAGAATAATTATCTGAAGTGGCTTTGAAAAAATCACTTTCTGCTTGAGGTTTGTAAGAAGCAAGGTATGTCACAATGTTGAGAGAGGTAAAGATCATGCTGTTTTGATCACAAATATTTATCACTGGGGAAGTAGGGGTTCTTTATTGACTTGTTAGAAGTCTGTCTTGGGTTTGTGAAACTTGTAAGATCTGAAGTTGAACTTTGCAGCCATATGGAACTTACATTTTTATAAGGAACACTAAAGTTTTGGTTCACTTACCTCACAGGAAGAAAAATGGTAGAGAAAGGAAAGTGTGTTTTGTACAGTGATGACCCAGGCATACTGAGAACATCTGTTACCCTCTGTTGTCAGTGTACCTGGGCTCTAATTTGGCTGTAACATCATCCTTTCTCAGCCATATTATTTGCCTGTGAAATGCAAAAGGAAGACCTAGAGTAAGGGGTAAGAATGGGCACAGGATTTGAATTTAAATGAAGGAACTAAGCTTCAGATTGTGCTATACTTTGAACCAGTGAAAGTTATTGTGTAACTGAAGATTGAACATCTTTGGCATTATTTGACAATTTCTGTTCGTGTTACATTTGGAAGTATTCTGTTGTCTATGCATTGTTGGATTAATATTTTTTAAATCCCAATGTAACCCCCTCCCCCAACCCAAAGGAATAACCATAGTTTCTGAACTAATGAAATTAGCTGGGATACCTCAGTTGGTATAGTGATGTGTGTTATGGGCTGTGTGGCTGGGGTTCAATTCCCATCAGTGGCAAGAGATTGTTCTCAGCTCCATAGTGTCCAGACCACCTCTGGGTCCAACCTAGCCTTGGATCCTTGGATCCAGTGGGTACTGGAGGGCCTATCCCCAGGGTTAACACAGTCAAGGTATGAAACTATTTACTTAACATTTATCTAGTGCTTAGGTCACATGTTCTCCTCTATATGTGTCTTAGTGGTATGGTGCTTAATGATAGGACAACACATAAAAATAAGATAACTCATGCCCAGTGGTGAATTTAAATATTATTCAGAGACCATAGTATCTATAAATAATTATATTCTGCCTTGTTATGGCTTGTATATGTCACCTCACATTATTATAGTGTAAATAAGGTGGAAGTTGGCTGTCATGCACCACATATTGCAGATAGTAAACTTGGATGTCTGTATGCAGTATAATGGTTGTCTGTGATTGCTTTGGTTAAAATGCGTTAAATTAATCCATTGGTTTAGAAGGATCAAAGTAGAATCTGCTGATCATTCTAGAATCCTGCAGCTGTTGTATCTCATAATTAAAAGGATCCAAATATAATCCCTCTCCTGTTTAATAGTAAAGTGAGTCTTGGAAATGAGAAATTGACCATATACTACATGAGGAAAGAGCATCCCCCTCCCCCCTTAGGTTAGAGATGCCTGTGGGATTCTGTAATACTGAAGTTTGTAGTAGGAATCCTTCAAATTGGTTTAGAAATTAGGTTACAGTGAGTTACATTGCTGCTTTTATCATCGCTTCCACCAGCAGTAAGTAGTGCAACTAATTCAAGTAGTGCGTGAGGTTGCACTTATTGATGTCCATCGATAAGAAATTATAATTGAAATATTTGTATTTTATAACAACTGTATTGCATAGGAAAACTGTTAAGTTTTAATATTAATGTCTTCTTATTTGACATTACAGCATGTATAAACAATACAAAGCAAATCAATCAAATGAGATACAAATAATGCCGTTGATTGCATTCATGTGGCCAGTATACTCTGTTTTGTTGGAAAAAGCAAAACCAAGGCACATTCCAGTAGACACCATCTGATAATGGCACTGAGGAAAGGCTTCGTTTGGATTTAGGTTTTCCTTTTCAGCATTACACAACGCAGAAACTTGCCGAAAGTCAGCATCGATCATGTCATTTCATGTAATCCAGCTGTACTGAAACATAGAGAAATGTTGTTATGATGAGAGATATGATGGACGTAATGACTTATGTGCTTTTAAAATCCAGTACAGTAACATAACAGCTTTATAACCAACAGAATGGCAGGTGAGATCCAGGTATTTTGTTGGTTGATTGGTTGAGGTGTGGTTGTATTCACTTTTAACATTTAAAACATTTTCACAATAATGGATTTTAAATGGTTGTACTCATACTCCAGGCCCTTGGTCTTTTTTTTTTAATTTTTTAATTTACCATCTTAGGTCACTGTATGATATGGTGTAACCTTTTCGTCATGTCTGTACGTTAGTTCTAACATTAAAACATTATGAGTGTAATGAATATGAAATGTATGAAGTATACTTAAAAAAGAAAGTTAGTTTTACTTATGGGCCTAAGTTAGTTAAAAGGAAAATAAACTAAAAGAAGTTAACTCCAAGATTATTTACTAAAGTAAAATCATTGTAGTTATTTACAAATGCACTTCCTGTTGGCATGAGGAGGTGAACATTATTTTTTATCAGTTCCAGTATAATTGTGTTAACATGTGCAGAATGTCCCACCAAGTGATGAATCTGTGTTCCTTATGAAACTATTAATGACACAGATAAGAAAACAACTTACTAATTGTTATTAAATCATCTTCCCACAGTGTCGGCTATTATTTAGTATCTTCAGCAGAAGGTGATGTATGAAAGAAACATTGAGATCAACTTTTGTATTTTCACCACATGGAGAGAAGATCATTCTTAAGAAGAAAATAAGTTGCTGTTTAATGTTGGATGGAAGAATTGCAGAGAGATGTTTTCAGAGAGTTATTTGAGAACTGCAATTTGTGATTTCATTTCACAATATCTTGGTGGCTCTCTAGAAAGAATTATTGTACAGTGGCATTGTACTTCAGTATGTATGCTGCTTAGCAAGGAAACATTACATGAAATTGGAAGTTTCTTTTACAGCTTGTGAGATATAAGCATTTTGCCATAGGAAGCCCAGCAGACAACTTTCACAAAGACTGAACAAAATACCTATGTTTTTAGTAATGTGGAAGGTATGTACGTAGGGCTTTCTTTGAAATGTGTATTAGTGGCTGTGCCATTAATAGTTTCTGGGGAAGTTTGGAGGCAATTACTCGACCGTTCTAGCATTTGTAGAATATTTCTATTAAATACGCCCACAACACGAAGAATAACTATCAGCATCAAGATTGGAGGCACTGTATTTATAGTCTACAGTTTATTTTATGTGTTTTACATAACTGGCAGTCATACAACTGCATAATTTTATTTTGTTGTTTGACTCACTCTGAAGTTCTAAAAGCTTGTTTTCATTCAGTATTCATTTTATGAAAGTTAATTCTTCCCCTGTTATCTGTAGGAAAATGCAGGAGTTGAAAGGTGAAACTTACGACAAAGTTTTGGAGAAGAGTCTTGGTTTCTACAATCCTAACAACATGAACTACTTGGCTACCCAGATGGGATTGGGGAACAACAATTTCTCATACATGATGGGTCTGAGGTAAAGATTATCTTGTAGATATTTTTTCCCAATAAAATGATCAAATACTGCAAGCTGATTTTTTTTTTTTAATAATTCCTGCATTATTGTTACGTTTTTAAAGAAATGTTCTTTGTCAGTATATTTGTTGAAGTGAAAACCCGTGCATATACTGGTTGATCTTAAGAGGTATTTCAGTGTCCTTTTAAGCAGCAAATATTGTACATATATTTAGCCTAATTTTTTATAAGACAGTAGTATTTGCTGTTTGTGCGTCGGTGACTTTTTATGCCGGAGTTTTGGTTCAGATAAAAAGGGCGTGAGCAGTATGTAGTTCACGCTGTTCTTGTTTATTGAGCACCAGAATTATATGAGATACACACCTACACCCTAATCATTATTTAGTCATTCAAATTTTAAACTCAGAATAATTGATTCTGAATTTCCTTTGTGTGTTTTTTATGAATTTGGTGGCAGTGGTTACAATTTTATACATATAATGTTGTCTGGTTAAGTTCCTTGGTGTATGGTGCTGAACCTCTCTTGTTCATTTAATGAAATGGAAGGTTTTGTTTCCCAGAACGTGCCCCACACCAGTTTTCCTCTTCAAAAACTGAACTTTTGTAGAATTATGTCACTTGATATGGGCAGCTCAGAGTTGGCCAACTGACACATAGCAAAGAAGGGCAGAGAAAGGCATGCTGTGAAAAAGGTGACCTTGAACTATGCAAGGGTGGCCATGTGAGTTGGAATACAAAAATATCCTTCAACACTGATGTGAGATTCGAAACCTGTAGGAATCAAAGTTTCATGCATAAAATGTGAGCAAACTTGTAAATTCAGGAAAATAAATTAGTTGTGTGGAGCTTTGGGTAGGACCGAAAGAAGTGTACCTTAAATCAAGGCTTCACTCTATAGGGTCCCCCCTCCTGCCTAGTTGGGGGTGGAGTCCAACTGGGCCCACTCTGCACGGCGGCCACTGATTGGCCTATTGTAGCCTGCCCCAGGTGATTATGATGATGGAGAATTCAGTGGAATGAAGATTGCCAAGGGAAACCGAAGTACTCGGAGAAACCCTGCCCCAGTGCCACTTTGTCCATCACAAATCCCACTTGACCAGACCCAGGATTGAACCTGGGAAGCCAAAGACTAACCGCTTGAGGTGTGGCGTGGCCTCTATAGGCTACTTACTCCTGTTGTTGATGTATGAATCGTGATCACTTTTCCGTTATCAGTTGCGTGTTGATTTGGATTTTTCCCTGTTCATTCCAGGACCAGTTTTTTTGTTCATTTGCTTATTTTCCCGTTTTTTTACACTTGAGCAGCGATCATTTTTCATCAGTATCTGTTGCAGTTAGCAAGCAGATTTGTACAGTGCTGCCGAAGGACGTCTTGACTGCAAACCATGAATGCATATTGACAGTACTGGCTTGGGTTAAACGAGTTTAATAAATCATGTGACATGAAAATGGGAGGTCTTTTAGGGATATTACTGTCATGCGTTGATTCTGTAGGGTTTCAGAAGTGTTGTAAATTGGAGCTGTTTTCTTGGCTTTTGAGGCTAGCTTCTCAGATGATGCTCCTACACATGCCAGTATTGGTGTGGTAAGCAGGAAAAGGGGAAAATTTCTCTGGGATGAAGACAGGAGGGGACAGTTGATTCCAGGAGTGACTGAGTGAAACTTCATTCTGCATGAAACGGCAGTGAATGAGTTTTGACAGTTTGCGTACAGAGACACTGACACCATCAAACACTGGTTTGCCAAGTGTTTCTGCCAACTTGAACAGACACTTCCTTTGCATATGGTGTGGTGTTGATAGATGCCTCACAGAAGCCAAAACACAAACAGGAATGGATTTAGGCCTTGGAATGTTTGAGTGATTTCACAGTTGTTACCATTTCCCAGTTTCTGAATTGTGATGGACAGTGAGAATTTGAACTAGTCAGTTTGATCCTCAGATCAAATCACAAAAGAGACGTTTGTACTTCTGCAGGCAGCAGCACTGTAAGTGTCAAAATGCCAAGAAGTACTGATGAGAAGATGATGGCTCTTTGGTTTTGAACATAACTTCTTTATGTGGCTCCTCTTGCTTTTGAAACTCTATGTATTAAAGGGAACAGTAGCGACCTCCGTAGTCTAGAGGTAACGTTCCCACCTCATGACTCGTGGTAGGCGGGTTCAAAAACCCGGTGGAGGTCGTGGAATTTTTAAGGGCGGAAAAATTCAGGGAACAAGTCCTCCGGGAGGGACTTTAAGCCGTGGGTCCCGTGTCGTAGATTTACGGCACGTAAAAGAACCTCATGTCTAGGAGACCTCTGAGCAAAATTAGGCCAAATTTCCTGCCCAAGTAGTTTCCAATTCCTCCGGTAGATGGGGAAAGTATCAGGTACCACTGCCAGAGGAGGGGGGACCTCTCTGACAGAAAGGGACTGAAGTATTAGATACCACTGCCAAGTAGAGGGTAGATACCTTGCTGGCAGAAAGGGACTAGGAACCCCTGCCAGGGGAGGGATGACCTCGCTGACAGAAAGGGACTAACTATTAGATACCCCTGCCGGTTAGAGGTTGGTACCTCGCTGGCAGAAAGGGGCTGATAGTAAGCACCAGAACCGGTAGGGTATGGAGACAGTAGAAATTAAAGGGGGACGTACAATGGACCAGTAACCGGTCTAAGTGCATGGGGAAACCCACCCCCTCAATACGGAAAGGGAACAGTGGTACACAACAATCTGCCTGACCCAAGTGATTGTAAAGTCTTAAAAAATGTGAACAGAACACTCCCGTTCCATTTCGTCTTCCCACTTAAATACCTTGTTTTATTTCCATTTTGTCTTCTCATTTAAATACTGTTTTATTTTTTTTAATGATAGAGTGGACTGTTTTGAAGATGGTAATGAATCTCCAGGTTCTGTTTAAGGCAGGAAATTTCTTGACCTGAGTGACTTTTCTCTTCTCATAGAGGACTCTGTTCCTCGGAGTTAATGAACAAGATGAACTTTATTGGGGACAACTTCTGTTAAACCATTTCAGAGGAAGATTCCCAGAGCAGGAATATGCGCTGGAGCTTCGTCAGGTTCAGGCCAGTAAGTGGGCCTTCAGGAGTGTTGCAGAAGGCATTGAGCACTTCAAGTCAGGAAGGCATTCTGAAGCTTTTCAGTGCTTGAATAAGGCATTGAACATAGATCCTCGCAATGTCGAAGGCCTAGTGGCACGTGGAGCGTTGTGAGTATTTGTTGTTTATTACTTTTACTTGCTTTGTAAAATTCTGTATGGTGTATGTCCTGAAAAATAACGCCAGCCATCTCTTGTGTTTTGTTTTAGATACGCAAATAGTGGTAGTTTTCAGAAGGCTATTGAAGATTTTGAGAGTGCACTAAAACTGAACCCAAACCATCAGAATGCCCGCAAGTACATGGGAGAGACTCTTGTTGCTTTGGGAAGAAGGTGAATGTTTTATATTTTTATAGGAAATAGAGCTTTTGAATAACTACAATCTGTATGCATATTTAAAAGTCAGCTCCAGTGAAATCCCCATATATGTCTTTTAGTATTGGTAGATTTGAACACTTAGGAAAACCTTAAGTGTAGGAGAATTGGCACTAAGGTTATTTATGTGAGATCACTGAAATTTAATGTTAAGTGAAAGAAAACTTAATTACACCACTCCATGCATCGTAAGTTGGGAATCTCCAGCCCCAGTTTTTCGGATGTAAAATGAGGCTAATATCCTTTAACGGGTAGAAGTTACTGATGCTTCTGTAGACCATTAACATTTCTTTGAAGATTGTGTCGGTACATTTTAAAAGAGTAAATGTTTCACATGGTTTGTTTCTGTGAAATCTATCCCTGTGCTGTCTTTTTGTAAACATGTTGTATGCTAGCTAATTCTAGTTTGACTCAGATTTACTGTTACAGTTCCCATAATCTGTTCAACTTTTCTTCCCTTGCTGAATGATTAATAATATTTCAAGGAATATATCTCTAAGTATGGATATGGTACTCGTAGTTTTTACATGTGAGAATGATTATATTCACTAAAATTTTGGTTTGGCACATGTTGTGATATGTACTCATTATAACTCATTTTGAACCATTTGTAGATGTGAAAAGCACTCAATTTATGATTTTCCAAATGTGAAATTTAATCAGCATATGTAAAGTAAGTAAATAAAGTAAAGCTATCCCTGTAACAGGCCATGAAGGCCCATAGGGTTGTGAGACGTTGAGGGTCCCACATTATCTAGACAAATGGCTTGTCAGCCTTACGCGCCGGCCGCACTTTACTCCCCAGGGAAATTATTTAATTAATTCCTGGTACTCATTTCTCTTAGAGGCTGAGTCATCCCCAGAGCCATAGTGCGGCCGGAAGGATTAGGTGAATTGAAAAAAAAAAAATCTAATAACCTCATCGGGACTTGAATCCACAACCTTCCAGCCTGTAGCATAGTGCCTCAACCAACTACGCTACTGCGCACCCCCATTTAATCAGCATAAACCTGCTTAAAATTCCTGATTGAATATTTGGCCTTTGCTGCTGGAAATGCAGCCTAGAACCTCAGTACAGTTTTCAACTTTTTCACCTTTGGCTTAAATTTATGATGTGTTTGGTTCACAGAGTCTCTAAACAATAATACTGTTTCTTGTTTTCCAGCTTTGAGGATGAAAACAAATTTGAGGAAGCTTTGAAGTCATATGAAAACTGCCTGTCTCTTATTCCCTTCCATGAAGAAGCCCAGAACTCAATTGAATTCCTCAAAACGAAGATACTGAACAGCAGCAAACTATCGGATTCAGAAGTAACAATTCCCGGTTTAACATCGTCTAAGACTTTGGAAGTGAAAGAGACGTTGAAACAGTTACTTAAAGGGGAAGAGGAGGATGAGAAGAAAGAAAAAGACAAGGAAAGATCAAAATCTAAGAAGAAGAAAGATAGAAAGTACGTACAAAAGTGTGTTACTTACATTCTAAGCTTTGTCTGTGCATGCTGTGTGATGTAATAAGTGTGCTTGACGGTGTTACACTATATTCTTCTTATTAAATTTTGTACAGTCTGATGGCTGGTGAAACAAGTTTGTTGTCAATACAGGAAGTGTATATCAACATTTGGTCTCTGTGTTGAAATGGAAATGTATTGGATCTCCTCCCCCCACCCCCAGCCTTAGGTCACTCTAACTTTCTGTAATGCAGTGCAACCTGAAATTTATAAAATATTGATTCTGACGCTCGGAATATTCATAAATGGTAGAAATACATGACAACATGCTCATCACCCAACTTTCAGTTATGTATAATATGACACTAAGATGTAACTATTAATGTGGGTACATAGTATTTCTTCTTGGGGGTGGTTGCCATGGGGATTGGAAAATAACAGAATAATTCAACATTTCCATTTTTGGTAACATTACCAAAACTGAAGTGTTCATGATTTCTTTTAAACGTTACCTCATCTGCCCACAAACAACCTCTGATTATTTGCTTTCCTTAACAAGCATAAGTTACACCCACTATTTGCTGAACACTTGGCCACATTTTGCCCATAATGTGCTGCATGTGCATACATAAGAACAGACTTGTCAGCTTGTAGCAAATCATGAGAAAAAACATGTCGATGTACGCGAATTTATAACCATTATGTTCGTCACAGTTACAAACCAAGATATTGAAACAGATTTTGCCACTATATGATCGAGAAGAAAAGGGACAGTTTTTTTTTATTTGGCTTATTTTATGCCATATTTTCTCTTCAATGTGGTAAAGAGTGTCGAAGAAGTTCACACTGCCGTCCTGCTTCACTTTTTGAGAAGCTGCTGACTTGACATAGATGTATTATTTGAAGCTTTGCATTTAGGACCAGAGTGTTTCTTTTTATTGCCATAATTATGGTTTTTCAAAATTTCTGTTGACACCATCCAAAAACAGTAGATGTTTGATGGAGACAGAACCTTAAACATGAGCTTGGTAGTTGTGTTCTGTAAACTTAGAATTTATTAAGCAGTGATGTACATTCTCAGTGGTTAACATACAGAGGGGATACTCTGTTCACAGTTGGGTTGTGGAATGGGAAATTTCTGCTAGACAAAGGTAGGACAGAAAAGGTTATTTAACAGGACCTAGCAGATTGCTAGTTGTAAGTTAATTTCAGAAGCAAAACTACAAGTATGGTTGGTGCACAAAGTTACAGCAAAGCAGGCATGACTAGTTAAAAATTACATGTTTTGACAAAGGTGCCACAGAAAGGGCTTCATTTTCTGTGTTGGTTTTCCATATATAGAATGTTAAGAAGGCCGTGTTTCCAGTGGTTTGTGACATAGTTTTTATTGCAGTCATCCTGCAATATGAACACTGGAATTGTGAACAGAGTCTCCCCTGATAGATTTCATGTTATGCTGACTAGTTCAAGTAGGCAGTTACCAAGCTGACTCGGGTCTAAAATTGAGAAAGTGGTAAATGTGTATAACTGGTGTGAAGAAAGTGTTCATTTTTATATGTTATCTGTATGGTAAATTTAATGTAATTCTGTTCATATAACATGAGTCCAATTTATATTTGTTTCCTTGATTTATGTACTTCCTGATGGTGAATTATGATCTTTGAATATGAATGTTACATATTCAGGTCCCGGAAACGTCGTAGGCATTCCACCTCCAGTAGCAGCAGTTCAAGTTCACCAAGTTCGCGCAGTTCATCATCATCATCGTCGTCGTCATCAGATTCCAGTTCTGGTTCCTCTAGATCAGGTTCCCAGTCTCGGTCTCGTTCTCCATCAAGGTCTCGAAAGTCATCCAAGAAACGAAGGAAGAGGTAACATACATAGAGCAGGGTTCTGTCCGTAGAAAAGTCACTACACTCTGGCGGTTCATGAGAATGCCTGAGATAGGTAGAACTCTCATATGAATGGTGAGAGGCATTCCAGATTAACCACCATCATTTAGTAAAAGCAAAAAAAAAGTAAAGCTATCCCTTTACGAGGCCATGAAGGCCCATGGGGTTGTGAGACATTGAGGGTCCCACGTTATCTAGCCAGTCGGCTCAGGTTGTCAGTGGAGTATAATATGGGAAAGCAGGAAGCTCGACTTAGTTTTTCATACTTGACATCCATATACATGTTGATATACAGGGTGTCCCAGGAGGAATGTGCCAAACTTCGGGAGGGTGTTCCTTATGTTAAAGTATGCCGATATAACCCAAAACACCTATGTCCAAAGTTGAACGGTTACGGAGATAATGGCCC